CACGAAGAATAAAAATAAAAATAGCGGTAGCACGAAGAAGAAAAATAAAAAATAGCGGTAAGAAGGAAAAGAGAAGAAAATAATAGAAGAGATCACAGAAAATGGAGAAACGTAGTGAAAATCTGGAGAAAAGTGGGTCAAAGATCGGCCAGGTTAACCGACAGTTTAGGAGAAGTTATGATGTAATTTACATTTCAAAAACCAGAAGCCATTCATTTACGAATGTGATTGCACTTTAGATTTGAATGAGGCAAAATAACATGCTCTTTCCCCTCAAATATATTGTTATAATCATTTGTTTCAGATGTACTGTAATTATTTTCTGTATAAAAAGTAATTTGGTGTTCAAAAAATCTTTTTTCAAACTTGAGTCTTGAAAAAGAGGGGGTCGTCTTATAATCAAGGCCGTCTTATATTCGGGCCAATACGGTAATTCAGTCACATCATAAATAAATAATTCATTTCGATACGAAACACAGTTGACAAATTAACAAACCCAACAAAAGAGGTGATTTCAGTCTTTGGAATATTTACACGCACACTGACCAGCTCATACTGATGAAGTGTTGATTTGAATGGAATAACATTTCACAACTGACGGAAGAGCCCAGAAGCAAAACTTGTGTTCTTTTCCACAACTTAAAAAGCATCTTTGTGTGTTTATTGAACCTGGAATGCAACCTTTGTTTTGTGCGCAGGTCTGGGAAGTTCATCGAGCCCCTCTATCAGGCGTGGGAGGAGCCAGCAGACTCAGAGCTGATCGCCAATAAAACAGTCCACCAGGTATGATGACTGGAGGATCAGATCAACATGCTCCCAAAGATTAACAATTGGAAGGAAAAAAAAAAACAACCACAACTGATGATGATGATGAACACAGTCACCGCTGTTGCTTTGCCAGGGCTCGAAAGAGGATGACTTCGACTTCCTGTGTGGAGAGACGCCCCAGGGTGATGGCATTGTCGGAATGACACCCAACTCCTTGGACTCAAACCCCAGTATCGGCTCACCCCCCGTCTCTTTCCAGAGACATTGCTAGTGCTGCGTCACCGACTCTTGGCCGGACCAGCCCGTACTATTATTCAAGGACAAAGGACTTGTTTTGGTTTTAAAATGGTGTATGTATGTAAGTCTCCCACTACTATTGCATCTGAAGAAGTCATTAAGGTCAAAAAAATGCACAAAACGATGGCCTTGTTTCTGGAGTCGTAGACTTCTGATTTGAATATGAATCATGAGACAGTCCAGTTCTCAGTTATTCCTTTATTATAAAACTGTTAACAGAAAGAATATGAGGCCACAACAAAGATTCAGTCTGGTTGAATGACAGGAAAATGACAATATCGGTTTCTACTGTATGTGCATTGTTCATAAAAATAGCCAGAAGCATGATGGAAGGCTGTTGAGACTCTTGACTACCAACAACACGATTACACAACAGGAGCTACGTCAGCGATTTCCTTATTGTACAACAACATCCCTCACGACATACAGTGATGTTGACTGAACAAACGATGCGCTTGTTGGTCTTGTGTACCAACGCTAAATCTTGCGCCGCTTCAATTCACATGGGGAGAAAGATGTAAAACAATGGGGGGGGGTCAAGGTTTTAGTACTTTTTCTTAGCTGGTCATACAGAGGAAGCAGATGAGGCCGTGTTATTATGGAGTCTCATGAATTTCGATTGTCCTTTACATGCGATGGGATGTGTTTGTTGAAAGGGTAGAAAATAGGTCAGGAAGAAACATTTGAGTCTGTAATATCTGTTTGTTGGGGTCATGCTTCAACATAAGTTTAAACAAGAGTCAACAAGATGTCCGTCAAAAGTCCAGAGAAGGGGAGATGCATCAAGTTTTGGTTGCGTCCATCTGCAGAAGCCGTACTGGAAACTAAGGACGTCTAATTGGATGGATACTTGTTGTGAGCTTTGGCATTAAATGATTGTGTTCCGTCTGTCACTAGGAACCGTGTCTGAAATCAATTTTTACTTTGAGAAGGTGGGTGGGCCAGCAAGTGTCCGGGTGGTTTGGGGTGTCTGATTGCACAGCTTTATTCTTGATCACGTTCTTCCTCGGTCGGCATTTTGGTTCACATGTAGTGAGGGCTGACATCTGGGGCGACTTCCTCCTCTGTCACTGGTTGCAGGTCAGTCAGTGGAAAATGAGAAAACATCAAGTTTAATGCGAGATCGAGAAAGGAAGACAAGAGGTTTCAGTATCTTGGGATGAGCACGAAATGGACAAATACAAATTTTGGCAATTATAAGTGTTAAGTATGTTGTTGAAAGAAAACATTTTGATTGTAGCAATGCAAATTCTTGCTACATGATCGTCATTTACCATTTTGCTTAAGTGCAGCCCGAAAAGTTACTATTTTTGTTTACTTGTTTTTTTAAGATGGAATCCACTTTAAAGCACCAATCGCTAACAAATGTATTAAATTAATTTTGTTGTCAGGTCCAAGCTTGCCGTGACCTGCTCATTTTATTTTGAAATGACAGGATGTGCCTCTTGAGAAAATGTCTTCTCAATGAGGAAGAGGTGACCTGTGAACAGGAACTAAACTGTTCAAATGTCACCCCAGTGGAGAAAAGAGACAAACTGCAGCCGTTTTTTTTTAGTAGCATTACCGCACGGGGGTCAAACTCAAGGTGAAGGGGGGACAGCCAGATCTGGACTGTCCCACGGAAGCAAATCATATGTCAACTTCCGTGACCCTTGCTAAAATCTGTCCAAAAAAATTTTTAATTTTCATGTGTAATGAATAAATGTTCAGAATTTGCAATATATATTTTTATACCCTTTTTACACTCACTTGAACAAACAAAATGGAAGCTGTGTTTTTTTCCCGCTTTTTTTTCGTCACACTTCTGCTTTTAAATTAGATTGTAGTTCCATAGCTCTTCGGGTCCCCAAACAATATTAAAGTTCCAAAGCATGTTTAATTGCTTTGAGAGCCACATTTATATGAGCTGGGCTGACAGATATAAAACAAAAAAGTGACAATGTTGTTCACGTTTATTTGCGTAGAAAGGAGGTGGTCCAGTGGTTTGCGCGTCAACCTCACAGTGCAGAGGTCATGAGTTCGATCTCTGGCCTTCCTGTGTGGGGTTTGCAGGCTCTCCCCATGCTAGCGTGGGTTTTCTCCGGGTACTCCGGTTTCCTCCCACATTCCAAAAACATGCATGGCAGGCTGATTGAACACTCCAAATTGTCCCTAGGTGTGAGTGTGAGCGCGAATGGTTGTTCGTCTCTGTGTGCCCTGCGATTGGCTGGCAACCGGTTCAGGGTGTCCCCCGCCTACTGCCCGAAGACGGCTGGGATAGGCTCCAGCACCCCCCGCGACCCTTGTGAGGATGAAGCGGATCGGAAAATGGATGGATGCTTTGAAAGGGTAAGCCAATGTTTTTTGTTTTAACCAGCTGAGAGCACGTGATACCTTTGTCATCATTGGGGAGGGTGAATACGCCCTGCACCAGCTCTTTGGCCTCAACAGCCAGCTGCAAAGCGGGATCAGGAAGAGGCGACAAGGTGTCAGGACTATCTGCAGCCGGTGACGGCCTGTTGCTCCTGCGACGTAAAACAGAAAGCAAAATAGTAAATTAACAGCGGGGCAGCAGACAGCGGAGTTAAGAATGTATGCCTTACCCAAGTTCTCCTCCAAACAGACTGGGTGTTGTTAATACCTTGTGGACGTTCTGAGGGCAGAGCACAGGCACAATAATTAGGTGGCATCAAATCAAGTAGACTCCTCTCAGTTTGGGGGCATTCCAATTGGGCTAAAAATGTATCACCCAATAAAACTCAAATCACTCCAGTTATTCAGGGGATGGCCAATTGTAGTGTTGGCATCATATTTACGTACAGGCCAATGTTCAGCCCAGTCCATTGTACCTTTCATTATCATGACACAACTTTTGGCTCCACATGAGTGTTGTACCTGTGCAAAGCCGAGCAGTCTTTTATTGGACATCTCAAGATGTTTTCTGTTGACCTCAGACTTCCGAAGCTGACAGTCGATGGCAGTCAGCCTCTTGCTCAGTTCCTGCACCTCTTCCTGGCAAAAACACATTTCACATAACGCCATGAATTAATTCAGATATTAACAATATAAAGAGTCTCAATGGACTCTTATGAAATGAAAGATGTGATTCTTTTAACTTTGAAGACATATTTATTTTTGCTGTGGGCTTGAATACATTTGAGTTTGATGATCAACATTCGAGCTTTAATTTCTAGGAATGTACTTCTGGATCTCATACAGAAATTGGAAGAGAGCGCCCATTTTTCATGTTAACAAAATTATTGGAACATTTGACTGACTGTCATATTCTGTTGCCCATGTGTGGCCCACTGAGATGATTATTTGAACACTAAATATTGGTGAATATCGATGGTGATTTCAGATTTGGGTTTTGCCTCTTAGGTGGACATTTATATCAGTATAACGATCATTGAATTCCCAGTACTGTCCATGGGTGAAAGATAGACAGTTGTGAAGCTGGAAAAAAATTCCAATACAATCATTTGTAACTTTCTGAAGAATGAAGTGACATTAAAATGTTAAACGTTGAATGGGGTAGATTCAGGAAAACCATCCCAGTTGTTCACAGAAACACGCGGAATGACATTAAAATGTTAAACGTTGAATGGGGTAGATTAAGGAAAACCGTTGTTCACAGAAACACGCGGAGAGCTGTCAAGAAAAGATCAATAAAAACCTCCAGGGGGCAGCAGAGAATGTACCTGAATCAACGAGTGCTACGACTTGATGAACAAAACGTACTGAGGTTACAAAGCACTCATTAAAAGGCAGAATATAAGACCAGACTGGAATTCCATCAAATTCTAAAATGGTGAGACACAAAAATTCAAAGACTGATGAGACAAGAGCAGAACGGCTAAATAAAGCGTTGAGAAATAAAGGCTGCTCATGATCACAAAGGGGGTGACCTTTAGGGGGCGCACTTTCATGGCAACAGCAAAATGAACTCAGAGGCTTGGAGAATCATTTGTCCACCAATGTATAAAAGGAAAAAAAAAACGGTACACCCAAACTGTGTGGGAAATCATTCGTCACCTTATCCGGTGGTGTAGTGGACGCTACAGCTTCTTGTTTACTTTCAAACTTAGTTTGTAGCAGACCTGTGCACATTTGGAGCATGACATCTCTGATCCACTGGAGTGCTGCAACTGTTTGTATTGTCCGTTTTATGATGTTTTACCTATTCAGTTCGTATTTCTGTTTGTTTATTACTTATTTTCTATTTTAAAGTTTTATGTGTCTCACTAAGCTATTTTAGAAACCTGCCTTGGGACGACGGCTGAAAAGTAGCATTTATGCTAAGTCCGGCGCATTTACACTGTTTATTCTTGTGTTGATTACTGTGCACTGTCCCAATGAATCAAACAAATAAATAAATAAATAGTGGTTCAATTGCTTGACTTGGCAGTGAGTTCAGTTCCCACCGTACCATTACTTTTGGAGCGTAACGTTTCAGATCACCTGGATAAGCTCGGACTGCAAAGAAAGAGATCCAACGATTCAACGGGAGCGGAATAACAAAGGGCCAAGAGATCACTGCAACTGATGATTTGAATGGGAGTCGGAGTAAGGTCGCCGGTCCCTGAGAGGCAGCGTGAAACCAAGGGATTTAGCGCTCGAGATGAAAAGCTCTGAGTGGTGAGGCGGGAGAGCCTGAGAGCGAGAGCAAATGAGTGAAAAGCCTCTGCTTCATCACAGCGAGGTTGCCGCTGAATATTGTGGCTGCGGCTCAAGCGGCTCAGTCAGAGCGAGTGTGCTTCACTGGGACTGACAATGCTGCAGGCACCCACCGGGTGAGGGAGGAGGCAGGAAAGAATGCAGAATAGAAACGCTCAAGCCTATTTTAGAACTACGGAACATCAGCTGCTGCGCCTTCTCTGCATCGAGCCTTTTCTTATGGCACAGGGGAACAAACGACACGATGAGACATACTATATAATGAAGAAAAAAAAAACACTCAGAGTTCCATGTAATTATGCTGCGACGGAAGAGCGAGGATTACACTTGATGCTGGCTGGGGTGTGAGTGTGTAGTGTGAAAGAACAACTAATCTGCTGCTTTTCACAAAAAAAAAAAAAAAACGCCCTGCATCATCTAATGAGATCCAGCACGAGTCCTGTGTCTCTGTGTTTGACTGTTTTTTTTATTTTTTTTTTTTAAATAACGCGTTACTGAGAGAGTCTGACTTTGATTGACAGACTCACTTTTGTGGCCTCTCCTCCTCGTGCTTGTCTCTTGCTCGCCAGCTGGTTCTTTAGGTCTTTAATCTCAGCCTCAAGCAGCTGGATCACCTCCTCGTAGTCCTGCTCGGCACTGCTCGCGTGGCGCTGCACCACCTCGGCTTCCGCTGCTTGCAGACGGCTCTTCAGACGGGCGTTCTCCTCCACAGTCAAACACGCTTTCTGAAAGGATGCTCTGTAGTCAGTGTATCTTCTTAACTGGAAATTCTTTTTGTTTTCACGTTTAAATATCATCTGATGCACGAGACACTCCTTTTGTGTCATTGTCTCATACCTCAGAGGTCTTCTGCAGCTCATCCTCAAGCGTTTTCTTGCTGTGCTCCATGTCCTTTAGTACCACCTGTCAAAACAAACAACATGCCAAAAAAAAAAAAAAAATGCAACTCATTGAACTGAATGATAGAAACTGTAAGAACAGTGTGGATATAGTGTGCATCGAGAAAAAGGTCAATGAATTAAAGTAGTGCATACTTACTGACTTGTACTATTCCAGTTGATAGACTTGTATTGATTTGCCTTTTAGAATGGTAAAACTCCATCAATGTAATGTAGCGTGTTGTGTTATGTCTGATTTGTCACAAAAAGAACATTCAAGTCAGGCTTGGCCTTACTTCTCAGCAGTCAGTATAAATAAGGTTGGGTGACACACCAGAACAAACCTGAACATACAAATTGACTGTCTGACACTGCAGATTATACAAAATTATAAAACCTCACACTTCGTATTTCGATCTACTACACATTATTAATTAAACATTTGATTTCCCTTTCAAATTGATCCAAAAATATGAAATGAACAGAAAGAAAAATCTTTACAGCATGGGTCATTTGGGTGGCTATGTGGTTCAATGTATGCTTGTGAATTTATATCATCAAACAGCCAAAGCTGTTCTGTAATTAAAATTATTCGTTATCGTATGTCATAAATATCAATGAAAAAAAAAAAAAACAGCACTGGAATTCACCGGGTACTTGTGAAAACAAGTTTGGGGGGGGGGGGGGTTGTGGTTGTGTGGTAGAAAGAAAAATCTTTACAGCATGGGTCATTTGGGTGGCTATGTGGTTCAATGTATGCTTGTGAATTTATATCATCAAACAGCCAAAGCTGTTCTGTAATTAAAATTATTCGTTATCGTATGTCATAAATATCAATGAAAAAAAAAAAAAACAGCACTGGAATTCACCGGGTACTTGTGAAAACAAGTTTGGGGGGGGGGGGGGTTTGGTCATGATTGCTCACTCATGGGTGGCACGATAGGCTAGTCTTGTTGAGGTACGTTTTTAGCAAGGTATCAACCCATAAACCCAAACTCGAGAGGCGCGCCATTTCAATTCGACTGCAGAAACAGTATGATATGATTCAGTTTTATGTGTGCTGCACAACACAAACTGTAGGCTGCAAACATCACAGCGTATGCCGTGCTGGTGTGGCCATGGCCTCAGTCTGAGAGCGAGCATGCGCTCACCTTGAGCTGCTTCATCTGGGTTTGCAGCTCTTTCACCTCACTCTGAAACTGCTCCAGCTCCTCACTGTTGTAGCTGCACTCCGATTCATATGTCTGCGGACGCAAACGCAAATTTACACACACGGGTCCAATTAGATAGCGATCATCGTGAATAAACTACACGTCACTCGGATGAGGATGAGATGACTGCTTACAGGGGAGTGGAAGGCCGACGTGTCCATCAGACTGGCTGCTTCGTGATAGGAGAACATGAAAGGACCTGCACCTAAACTGAGCTCCTCCAAGTTGTCCTGGAAAATGGTCCGTGTGGCCTCAACAAACTCTGATAAAGTTCGGAGAGGGCATGTCAGTTAGAAGTAAGATTTTTTTTCGAATCAAAATGCTTTGGAAATATCACTTCTATTTGCATCGTAAAGTTACGATGAACTCTGATTACATAATCAGTGCTAAAGCTCCCGTGGAAGTGGGCTGCCTGCTTACGTGTTGTATTTGCTACTCACGCCTTCCTGTTTAGAGCTCGCATGCTCTCCTTGTGCTTGCAATGGGTTTTGTTCCTGGGAACTTCCTCCCACATTCAAAACGATGCATGTTAAATCCATAGGTATGAATGTGAATATTGACTATAAACATACCAGGCAAGGTGTACTGCCACCTGCCAAAAGTCAGTCCCCATGACCATGATATGGAACATTGATGGAGGGATTTGTGCTTTTTCCATTACTGTTAAATCACAAAATAAAGTATGGCTAAGAAATAAATCCAACATCCACGAGTGAAAAAGCATGTGCCCTGTGTTCCTGATTTCTGATTTTCCTTCATCTTTATTGCACTGAAATGTTTCAGATTACCAAACAAAGTAGGGGCTAATTTGCAGTGAGTAATAAAAAGACGTTGCGCTATATGCATCCATCCATACCGCTTATGCTCAAGAGGATCGGGTGTGTGCTTGAACCTATCCTAACTGACTTTGGGCGAGAGGCGGGGTACAGCCTAAACACACCCACAGTCACACCTATGGCCAATTTATAGAGTTCAGTTAAGATACCATGCATGTTTTTGGATTGGGGGAGGCTACCTGAGAACCCGGACAAAAGCCAGACAAGCATGGATAGAGCATACTGTACAAATTCCACACAGGAAGCCCGGTGCCCGGATATGAACCCATGAACTCTGAACTGTGAGGAGAATGTGCTAACCAGTCGGTTGCTGAGTGCTCAAGAACAAAGTGTTCAATGTGCAAGGATGAACAGGCATTACTGATGTCGGGGCTCCAGAGCAGTGCGTGAGTTAAACGGTCTGAAAGTTTGCGGAACGGAGAGAAGCTTCTTCTTCAGCCTGGTGGTCCTGCTCTGGATTCTCTTTAGCTTCCTTCCTGAGGGGAAGAGATGGAGGAGGGTGTGTGCGGGGTGGGCTTGGTCCGCTGGTGAAGACGTCTCGAGTTGCAGGGAGGCCGTTTCCCCAAATCCGCCTTTACCATCTTTTGAAAAGCCTTCCTTTCGGGAGCCACACATGGTGATGATGGTGCTGAGGACGCTCTTCCACACACTTCTAGAGAAGCTCCTCATGAAACAGTTCCCTAATCCAGCACATCACAGCTATTGGATGAAGCAGAGACATTGGTGAGCCGCCTTCTGTAGACAGGAAGTGTTTCGGCTCCAGGTGAGGTCCTTGGTAAGGTGGACTTCAAGGTTCTAAGTATTTGGAAACCACTTCCACTGCTGCTCCTCGGATGTGCAGAGGAAAAAAGGGGTGTCTGTTTTTCCTTAAGTGCACCAACATCTCCTTGGTCTTCTTCACATTAATGCAAAGGTTGTTTCTGCACCAGAACGCCAGATGTTCTATACTCCTCTCTGTACTCTGATGCACTGGGGTTCATGATGCATCCCACTACCACTGTGGCATCTGTAAACTTCACTGAAAGACAGCTTGGGAATTTCACAGAGCAGTCATATGGTCAGTAGTGTGAACCGCGGGGGGCTCAGCACACAACTCTGTGGGTTGAGCCAGTGATGGTACTGTGGAGATCTGACTGAGACGGGGATGAACTCAGCCCAAGAATGTTCAGCTTTTGCATCAGCTTCTGTGAGATGATGGTGTTGAAAACGGAGGAGAAATTCAGGGTTCGTAGAGATGTTGATGTAATTCTTGATCGGCACCATGATCAGCTTCTCAAAGCACTTCATGACTATCGGAGCGAGGACTACCAGCCGCTCGTCATTCAGACCTTGTGGAGGTTTTAGGTATGGGGGTGATGGGGGAAGTTTTTAGGCAGGGTGGGCCAGATGCTCGTTGGAGCGAGAGAGAAAATGTCTGTTAGTATCTTGGACAGCTGATGGGCACAGTCTCTTTGTACCTGCCCTGGGATATTGTCAGGTCTTTCGGCTTTGCGGGGGTTAAACTTTACAACGTTCTCCTCACGTCTGCTGGGGACAAGCGGGGCTGCGTGTTTATCGGGTGGTGCCATGAGTCTGACATTCGGGGTGCTGTTGCTGGGGTCCTTGAAGCGGGGAGACAAACTTGCTGAGGGCATCGGGCAGAGAGGGGTCTTTTGAGCACTGAGCATCCTTGGTGTCGTTTGTGATGCACGTTCATGCCTTTGCACGTGCTCTAAGCATCATTGGAGTTGAAGTGGCCCTGGATTTTCTGAGATTTTAGCCCTCTTGATTCTTCCTGCTACCGTTCAGATGTTTTGATGTCCTGAATGTAGCATCAGTAGCCTTCAGAAATCAACCACGGCTTCTGGTGCGGGTAGATCGTGATTTCCTTGTTTTGGCGCAGTTGTGTCACCAAGGTATTATTTTGAAGGTGTTTCATAGGTCCTTCTTTGCATATACGGTAACGGGTATTTCAAATTCAACACGTTTTCAGACAAAGCTACAGAAACAGAACAGGCTTACGGCTCCACGTGACATCGCGCACAAGTGCCACAACCAATAAGTGACATCCAGCCATCACAATGGAGTTGCGATTTGACAGCGTTTCAACACGGATCTGTCACTTGCAGTTGAGGCAACTCGAAGCAGCTATCCGTTTGCACGTGTGCGTGTGTGTTTATGAGGGACTCACCTCCGTAGGCCACAGTGCCTTGCGGGTCTGTCGTCAGGCTCTGTCGTAACTTCTTTCTTTTCTCGTCCGTGACATCCAAGCCGAGAAAGGACAGAGCCTGCAAGTGATAAACAGAGTTAACGTGAAGACAATCACTGCAACAACAGAAGCGCCACTTGTCAGGCTTGAGATGATTATGCATATTGGCAAGCATATTGATGACATACCAAGAAGCTGGAACAAGAAATGGATATACATTTAAAACACAAAAAGAGCAAACAGCACAAACAGTCTTCAAAATGACATCATAATCAACACATTTTTCATAGTTTCAGCAAAATTGTCAACCATTATCCATGCAGGGCTGATGAGGATTACATGCAGATGTAAATATCCAATCGCAAGTTGCATTAAGGTCTCAGGCAGAATGGTTATCTCTCCTTTATAAATGTTGATTTGAATGTATGGTTTATGCCCTATACAGTTATATTTGCTTTTAATACAGACAGACAAAGGATACCATCAAAATTGTTTTTTGTTCTTTCGCAGTGTACATGTAAGGTTTGTCATATACTCCTGAACTATTACTTAACTACTACTGAACTATTGAAACGTTTTCTCTCTAATCTTATGAACAAATTGGTAAACGGGGGGCTCAGCTCCATCTGTGTGGGATCTTGACAAAACACAAAACAACAACAAGCAGCCCATACGGCTGAATCAGTCACAGCAGGTACAGAACCGCAGAGCGATGTGACCTTTGAAGGCAAGGGTGAGCGTCAGGCACCACGAGATCAAGTGCGAATCGAGTATGGTGAAAACTCAATTGAAGTGTGTTAGAGTAAAAGAGCCGGCAGAGTCAGATTGCGAGAAAGATCAATAGTTAGATGAGGAGAGAAAGAGCTTGGGGCTGGAAGAGGGTGCAAAAGAGGAAAAACAGAAAAAAGAAGCTGCAAGTGAGTTTATCAGAATGAGAGAAATTCCCTGAGTACAATCAGTCTGAAGACATGAAAGAAGTTGAACTCACACATCAAAGGTCCTGATAGAGTTACAGTTTTCAAAGCTTGCATTCAACAAACACGGGGTTCACTTCATGTGGCGACTGATTTCCTTTTTCTTTCCCAACATAGCCAGAACAATCCAGGATATATTTTGTTTGACAATAATACTTTACTATTGTTGGGAGAGGGAGGGAGAGGATGTTGTGGTTGCGGCGGAATCCTTTCGCCGTCCTCTGCGTCCTCCGCGTGTTCGTTTGAATTCGGGTTGACTTAATGTGTGAAATCAGAGGCTGGGAATGGAGAAGTTGTTTCATGAAGATTTTATGAGAACGTTCCGGGCACAAGTGTGATACAAACAATGGTTGTGGTCAGAGCACAAATGCACAAAAGCACTATCTCAAGGCAAGTCTTATATACTCTAAACAGGGCGTAGCTTTGAATTGATACTTCACTTTCGGTTTTCCGATGACTGTTGCAGTGCTTTCGTTTTTCCAAAAGTTTTTCCAATATTTTCATTTATTAATAACATAACTGTTGCAGCGCTTTCATTTCTCCAAAAATTGTTCCAATAGTTTCATCTACGAATAACATAACTGTTGCAGCACTTTCGTCTCTAGCAGGTTTGAATAAGACTGTGGGTGTGAAACCGCAAGTCAGCAAGGGGATGCATGCACAGCGTTGTCTCGTATTAGTCTGCAAAGGTGTCAAAATTAGTCTCGTCGCTGAGGCAGTTCAAAGTGAGGTCACATCATAGTCAAAGTGTGTCTATTCGTAATATGTCGTCAAGCTGATAATGCACATAGCTAAATAATGGCTTCACTATACAGGTATTATAAAACTCCAATTGTGAAAAAATGTAAATAAAAACAGAATATAATTATTTGCAAATCATTTTCAACCGATACTCAATTGATTACACGACAAGACATGATATTTAAGGTTCATTATATTAACTCATTCAGTACCAGCCAATTCTAGACCAAGTCTGAAAAGACGTTTAAAAACGTCTTTGGGAGTGAATGAGTTAAATGCATATATATATTTGCAAATATTCAGTCCTTTTGAATTTGTCTGCAACTCATTCCAAGAAAGATGGGACAGGGGCATGTTTACCGCATCACTTTTTCTTTTAACAAGATTCAAAAAGCATTTGTGAACTGAGGACATGAATTGTTGAAGCTTTGTGGGTGGAATTCTTTCCCATACTTGCTTGATGTTGCTCAACAATCCGGGATCCCCGTCGTCATATTTTACTTAAGTTTCAGATCTGGGCTGCTGGCAGGCCAGTCTAGCATTTGCACTCTTGGGCTATAAAACCATGCTGTTGTAATGTGCGGAATATGGCTTGGCATTATCTTGCTGAAATAAGCAGGGCCGTCGTTTGGATGGCAGCAAATGTTGCTCCAAAACAGGCATTAATGGTGCCTTCACAGAAGCTACCATGACCGCGAATAAACAATGCCACATTGACGGGTGTCATCATCAGCCATTTTATCACCGGTCCGGGCTCTCTTTCGGACATTTTGGAGCCACGTCAACATTTATGGGTTCAAGTGTTTTCAATTAGCACCCATGTAATTGTTACAATGCAAGCCAAAATGTTGAATTACTGAAAGAGCAACACTAAGTGCAGCAGAGAAATAGAACAAGAGAGGGTGCAGTGGGATCATGTGAAATCTCAGTATACTGTACTGTAAAATGCCCCAGTACGCGAGATGAAACCCAGGGGTGTCAAACTCATTTTTGGCGCGGTCCACATTTTAGTAACCGTTTCACTAAGAGGAGCGTTATGACTGAAACCATATAAAGAAGTCAAGAATAACTGTTGATTCAACTATTGTTTAAGTTACGATCATGAGGGGTTTGGTAACAAGAAAATGCTTAGAATATATCCATCCATCCAGCCATCCATCCAGTCATTTTTAACCACTTCCTCACAAGGGTTGTGGGGGGTTCTGGAGCCTATCCCAGCTGTCTTCGGCCAGTAGGTGGGGGGACACCCTGAACTGGTTGCCAGCCAAACACAGGGCACACATAGATATACCTGTACAACCATTCACACTCACAATCTCACAGGATGTGTTACATTCACCTATGGTGCATATTTTTGTAATGTGGGAGGAAACCTGAGTACCTGCAGAAGACCCATGCTGGTGCGGGGAGATCATGCAAACTCCACACAGGAAGGCCAGAGCTGGGATCGAACCCACAACCTCTGCACTGTGCGGTTGACACGCTAACCACTCGACCACCGGGCCGCCCCACTTAGAATATATCTCTTATTCATTACATAAGAGAATTTTTAAAAAAATTACATTTTAGAAAGGATCATGGAAGTTGACATGCTTGAGCTGCTTTCGCGGGCCACATAAAATTATGTGGCGGGCCAGATATGGCCCCCGGGCCTTGAGTTTGACACCTGTGCTGGAACCCGATAACAGGATAAGCTGTCCACTGTAGTAACCGCTGTTCCTGAAAGTGTTAATGTACTGTCCCTAAGAACTGGTTTCAATTGCTGGGAAAAATGTCTGATCGGACTCACCAAATCCAACTTGTCTGATTTGAGCCGAATGTAGGGGTCGAGTGTGATCTTAGGTTTGGTCCTTGTGGGTGAACTCTGATTGGTTGAATCTAGAGAGGGAAAAGAAAAGATGGAGTTAAACAAGTGGCTCAAGGACAAGGATAGTATGTGAGCTGATTGGGCAATAACAGACAGGGTATATCACCCGATAATCTGGACTAATCAAGTGGATGTATCTGGATTTTGGAGAAGAGGGTTGTTGCGGTTATCAGGGTATGGCTTGGCATTATCTTGCTGAAATAAGCAGGGCCGTCGTTTGGATGGCAGCAAATGTTGCTCCAAAACAGGCATTAATGGTGCCTTCACAGAAGCTACCATGACCGCGAATAAACAATGCCACATTGACGGGTGTCATCATCAGCCATTTTATCACCGGTCCGGGCTCTCTTTCGGACATTTTGGAGCCACGTCAACATTTATGGGTTCAAGTGTTTTCAATTAGCACCCATGTAATTGTTACAATGCAAGCCAAAATGTTGAATTACTGAAAGAGCAACACTAAGTGCAGCAGAGAAATAGAACAAGAGAGGGTGCAGTGGGATCATGTGAAATCTCAGTATACTGTACTGTAAAATGCCCCAGTACGCGAGATGAAACCCAGGGGTGTCAAACTCATTTTTGGCGCGGTCCACATTTTAGTAACCGTTTCACTAAGAGGAGCGTTATGACTGAAACCATATAAAGAAGTCAAGAATAACTGTTGATTCAACTATTGTTTAAGTTACGATCATGAGGGGTTTGGTAACAAGAAAATGCTTAGAATATATCCATCCATCCAGCCATCCATCCAGTCATTTTTAACCACTTCCTCACAAGGGTTGTGGGGGGTTCTGGAGCCTATCCCAGCTGTCTTCGGCCAGTAGGTGGGGGGACACCCTGAACTGGTTGCCAGCCAAACACAGGGCACACATAGATATACCTGTACAACCATTCACACTCACAATCTCACAGGATGTGTTACATTCACCTATGGTGCATATTTTTGTAATGTGGGAGGAAACCTGAGTACCTGCAGAAGACCCATGCTGGTGCGGGGAGATCATGCAAACTCCACACAGGAAGGCCAGAGCTGGGATCGAACCCACAACCTCTGCACTGTGCGGTTGACACGCTAACCACTCGACCACCGGGCCGCCCCACTTAGAATATATCTCTTATTCATTACATAAGAGAATTTTTAAAAAAATTACATTTTAGAAAGGATCATGGAAGTTGACATGCTTGAGCTGCTTTCGCGGGCCACATAAAATTATGTGGCGGGCCAGATATGGCCCCCGGGCCTTGAGTTTGACACCTGTGCTGGAACCCGATAACAGGATAAGCTGTCCACTGTAGTAACCGCTGTTCCTGAAAGTGTTAATGTACTGTCCCTAAGAACTGGTTTCAATTGCTGGGAAAAATGTCTGATCGGACTCACCAAATCCAACTTGTCTGATTTGAGCCGAATGTAGGGGTCGAGTGTGATCTTAGGTTTGGTCCTTGTGGGTGAACTCTGATTGGTTGAATCTAGAGAGGGAAAAGAAAAGATGGAGTTAAACAAGTGGCTCAAGGACAAGGATAGTATGTGAGCTGATTGGGCAATAACAGACAGGGTATATCACCCGATAATCTGGACTAATCAAGTGGATGTATCTGGATTTTGGAGAAGAGGGTTGTTGCGGTTATCAGGGTTTTTTTTTTTTTTAGTGTGAGGGGGCGGGATGGGGAAAAAAACATGATTAAAAAGAGTGGAGTAGTGGAAAGATGAGTGATTATGTAGATGGGAGCGAGGGAACACGGTGAAAAACAGGAGAGCAGACAGTCAGCGCCTAATACTAATTTGATGAGCTTCCCTGTCCCAGATTTGTGAGTCTGCTTGTTATGGCAATGGCACTGATACTGCCATTGCAGTGTGTGGATGGGTGTGCGGGCGCGTGTGTTTATGAAAGTGCTCAGTCCTTTTGCTGGGAGTAACCTGATAGCAGCGAAAACCTTGCCTCCCTTTCATCCAAAGGATTTAAACTGTCCCACCCCTAACCGGTGGTGATGACTGACAGACCTGCTGCCGTGACAACAGTCTGTGCGTTAAATCCTGCTTGCACACACAGTCCATATGATTCACTTTTCTTTCGTGCAATTAAGGGTGAACATCCACAAAGGCACATTTGACCTTGCGCGAATTATTACGCTTTGAAGAACGTGTGATGGTACGACCTGTGAAAAGTATTAATAGTAATTGTACAAGTCCCGACAACCGTTTGTGACAATTTTAATTTAGATTGTGTGTCCCGGTTGGTCTATTTGTACTGACATTACTAACTTGCCTGATCTTGAACTTTTTCTTGCCTTTTCAACTTGTGATTTTAATCTTTGCACAGGGTTTTAGATTTGAAAAACAAGATACAAATGTGAGGAGAAATTCCTTTCTGTTAGTGGCTCATCTTTAACCGTCCCCCGCCCCCATTGAAACAGTCGCGTGCATATAGGGCTTTACCTATGTCGGCACATGCCGGTTTATCTTTCTAACAGGATTGCATACCACTGATGAGCTGTTGCCCAGCTGTGTTTCAGGATGGGTGACAAAGACAAAGTGTAACAAGACGGCCGTCAGCGAGATCATCTTAAAGAGATGAGCGTGCATGTGTAAGTAGATTTTGCATCAGCTTTGTGTTGTGGCTCTTTAAGTGATGCAAAAATAGTTTGACATGAGAAGTTCTCAAATTGAAATTTCGATTCATTTAATGTGACCAATCAGGGCAACCCAGCCCTCCCAAAACAAACACTGTATTTTGCTTCTGCGTGTGTATCTTGGCACCTCTTTGGAAAGTGCTGACATCTGTCACAGCTAGCAACTGGCTTAACCAATAAGAGTCTGAAAGGGAGCTAAGGGGTCAAACCACCTAGAAAATAACTTGGACTGTGGTAAGCCTTGTCAATAGGATTGGGATGTGAGGCGTGTGGGTTCTGGGACCCACGTGTGACCCTTACCATTGGAGATATTTGTCTGCTTGGCTGTTTGAAGGCAAAATACAAACACAAACATATTAGCCATATGACGCTCACTCTATTTGCATTAAGCCTGTAACCCGATAACATGATAAGCCGTCCACTGTAGTAACCGTTGTCCCTGAAAGGGTGAAAAAAAATACCTTGCAAAAGCGGCTAGTCAATTTTGTCAGTTACACTGTATATTTCATTATTTGTAATTTGACTGAAAATGTCAAATGTTTTTGCATGTTTATCAATAACAATGCAGTCTGACACATGTTATGACTTTTTGACCAATGTACAACTCTTTCATTATATTTATTGTTAAATTATTACTTTAGATGTTAGATTATGAGTCCAACAAGCTCTGGTAATCTTATTCTCTCCTGTATGCCACCTTGACCTGATGAGCGTCAAAGTGGATTCATTTGGTACCATGATGCAGTGATTCCAACCAGTGTTCAAGGGCACATTAGTGCGAGCTCTAAAGCTGTGCCGTGGGAAAATATCAAATGCCACTAAATTGGTCAGAAATGTATTTGTTTAGTATAACAGTTAGTGTATCCATGCCAATTTATCTCGACCAGAAATTTACCGTGACAAAAAGAACAACTAAATGATATTCTATTAGATGGCAGAAAATAAGACTTGTATTAACCACTTTTTGTGACTTTTTTTTTTGTGTGTGTCAGAGGCACACCATCCCCTAAAATAATAATAATAATAATAATACATTTTATTTAAAGTATCCCTTCCTAATGTACGGTAGCCACAATACTGAAACAAACTTTATAGATTTAAAGGGTTATACTGATTGGTAATTTCCCTGAGTATGTCACTAGAACTCCAGCTGTCAATCAGTGTGCTTTAAACTCTGTGCAGGTCAAACTCAGGTCACAGTGCTCTGGCGGAGGGCGTTACATTAATCTTGTCCTCCACACCTAGTGCCAAATCTCGATGTTCCCTGTTTTTCAATTTAGTGATTAGTAACCTCATTGAAAGTGCTTGAATTTATTTGGACTTGCTCCCTTATGAATTTCCCTTAGCAGAAAAAAACAAACAAAAAAATAAATGCTTTTGTTCCTGTCCCATTCTGTCACCAATCTGTATGACTGTTGATTGTTATAGTGGGAGCATTGTGTGGAATGTACTCTATGATAACAGAATCAATCAATCAATCAATCCAATAGAAGTCCAAGATGGCGCCCGAGTAGGCAGCCATCTGCAAGTGCTCTCATGACCCTTGCTTTTTTTGTTGTTTTTCTGTTTGTTTTGTCACTTTGTGTTTGTTGTTACATCGTGTGGACCTGATGTGGACTGTTTTCAGCATTTTTTGGCCACGACATTCATCAAGGAGGAGACTCGGTGCTAGGTGGTTTTGCCTTCTCGGCAGCATGGGTATGCCAGCACTGTTTTTGATTTGGAGGAATGTCGGCGCCATTTGACTGTCATTGCTGGACAGCTCCGGGGGCGCTTGTGTCTTGCGCCTGTAATGGGCATTGTCAATGGACGCTACAGCTTCGTGTTTGCTTTCAAAACTTAGCTTGTAGCAGACGTGCACATTTTCAGCATGACGTCTCTGATCCACTGGTAAAAGGACACTTTGATCCTCTCCTCTTTCATCTATAACTGCTTCAGACAACAAAGTGTATGCAGGAAAGTGGTGAAGATTGCACGACTGTCTGTGTCCTATGTGTTGTGTTGTGTTATTTTTGTTATTTTGACTTCAAGATGGCGCCGCGTGAGTGGCTGCCTTTCCAGCAGCTCCTATATTTTGTTGTTCAACTTCTTCCATTCATAACTTTGCTGCTGTGAATTGGGAATTTCTCCATTGCAAGACTAATAAAGGTTCAAAGGCTAATCAAAGCTGTTTTAGAGTGATTGATGATCATGAACAGAATGAAAGAAATCTATAGGGTGGTAAATAAAAATAATTTCCCCCAGAATTTTTCTTACTTTCTACTCTCTGTACTTTGGAATTTTGGGCTGTGGCGCTCAAAGACACTCACCGTATGTGAAAATCCCATGCCTGGGATACTCAAATAAAATGAACTCTATCATAAATCCACAACAAATGTATTCAGAGGGGATTAAGAATACTTTCTTTCCTTTTAGCAGCAAACCTGGAACATGCCATTTTCATCGAATCTAGGCTCCTACAGCTGTGTCAATTGGTGAACATCTTCAAAAACGAAGTTGAACGATTAAAAACTGCACTTGCAGCAGTGAACTCCGAGTGACCCCCACTAACAGGCTGTGTAGTGGAGATTATTCTACTCTGTTGCGGGTTCAGGTAAGTGGGGCTCACGTCAGGATGTCACCAGAAAACCATTTGAGGGCTGCAGTCAGAGGAAAGATGGTCAGATATGCGGGGTGATCGCTTTTACTCAATTTCTGAGAATATTGTTCCTTCCTCTTTGTATGACTACGTGTGTTTGGTACAAGCCTGTTCTCTGTACTCATGTATTATACAGTAACCTGATTTGGTGGTATCCACACACAAAAAAAAAATCGAACAATTCTCCACATAGTAATTTGATAGCTTGGGATTTCTTCTGATCAGATACTTGTTTTTTGTTCAATAGAAGTTCTCTTATGTTGCTAACAATTTTGCCCGGCATAGTTTTTTGGTGATGACCAAGAGTCATGGTGGCCCTGGCGTGGATTTGCCATGAAACAGCTCGGTGCTATCAATAAGGAAACGACCACAAATAAAAACAAAAGTCTTAGCTGATGTCGTGTTTTATAAAAAAGTGAGTTTCCCAGATGGTGAAACTAAGTATGTTTCAAAGCTAGTCTCACCTCAGACACACTTGGAATCATCGGAAATGGTCAGCACAAACCTCAACTTTTTGTTTTTTTGCGTGACGCCACGCGGAAGGGTTGGTGCTCGCTCACTCTTGGGCTACATCTCGGAGCTATCGCCATTCCGTGATTTGAGACTAACCAATTTGAGAAATGAGACAACCAATGGCGGGTGTGAAAGTACTGGCCACATGAAGCTCATTAGCCCGTAAATATAAAAAGGTAGCTGCTTATAATCTGGAAAATACGGTAAAACCCGATACACAATCTGAATCGTGCCCTCTGCTACTCCAGTCTCCAGCCACAGTGACATTCCTTGCCCATGAACCAGCCAAGTGGAATAACAAATATAAAAATGAACACAAAAGTAATAAAGTTAGAGAGCTCAACATATTTTCCCCAGCAATGAATGACTTTGCGGCCTTTCCTGTGGCATGCATAAAGAAGTCCGTGCTGACCCAATCAAAACACAAAGCGAAGGGAATACCAGTTCAGGACCACAAATAGGTGGTCTATTGAAGGCCTAGACTCAAAACAATGGCATGTGAGATATGAACTGAGACGTCAAATGTCTCAAAAGTTCAACATGGTCATAGACTATTCATTTCAGCAAAATGAATATATATTTTTTTCTTTTGGCATGTCCTGCTGGAGGTAGCCAGAGTGCAACATCCTTTTCCATCTAAACCTCTGCATGCTCCTTTATGACACCAACTACCCTTCTGTGTTTCTTCACTATGTCTATGAACCATCTCTCACGTTTTCCTGTAACTGTATTGCATGGCAGCTCCCTCCTCCTCATCTTACTACCAATAAACTCACTATTTCTATATACTTCTATATACTATTATACGATATACTTCTATATACGTCTATATACTATTTCAGAGGACTATATTGTCCCCTGAAAACCTCCATGTCTGGTGACTCTAACTTTGTCTCCAAAGATTTCCAACCTTGGCTGTCTGTCTGATTATCTAATTTCTTATCCCATCCACGCTGGTTGCTCCTAAGGAGAACCTCAATATCTCTACCTCCAGATATGCATCCTGTTGTGCCTCAAAGCAGTATATCATGGATGGCCTCAAAACGGTCGTGTAAAACATTTCCCTTCAGCCAAGCAAAGACTCTTTTATTACAAAACCCAAATCCAATGAGCTTGAGATTCATCCATCCATCCATTTTCAGCACCGTTTATCCTGAAGAGGGTCGCGGGAAGTTGCTGGAGCCTATCCCAGCTGACTTTGGGCGAAAGGCAGACTACTCCCTGAACTGGTCGCCAGCCAGTCGCAGGGCGCAGATAGAGGCAAACGAACATTCACACCCACATTCATATTATCACTGAGTGGTAACCGATCCCACGCTGCCCAAGTTCCTCCTGCCCACCAAAGGCCTACCTCAGCTCTCTTGTGAAAGCCACACAGCACTCTTTCTTAGCTTCCATTCCTTTCTCTGCTCTGCCTTTATCTTCCTGGCGACCAGTCATCTAACACAATGCCATTTGCTGACAGTCCTGATATAATCACCGATTGTGACATGCCGCTGGGAAGACCTGGAGCCAGACACCTCACCTGCTTGATTGAACACACACCCCCAACTGAGACCTTGAGATAAATTGATTCAATTTACATCCTCACAGCAGACTATTGTTGGATTAACAATTGCTCCCAATTCCTTTTTGACATCGCCTGCACAAGATGTATGTGTACGTGTGCTTCTACCGTCATGTTCCTGCCTCATCTGTAAGAAAGTGTTTCCAACAGCTATTTCCATTCTTTTGCCTAAGTGTAGTCCTGGAGATCCAGTCTGACCATTATTTCTTTTTCATCCCTGTTGCCTTCATCAACATGCCAATTAAAAGCTGTCTCAATCAGGACGCTCTCTGGGCTGCTCTTAACAACATTGTCTTAGTTCCTTCTACACCCGAGAACCGTAAACACTCATAACAATAAACGTGGCAACCCTCAATTTCAATCTTCACTCAATCTGACACTCTTTGCACCTCTGAGACCTGAGACATTCCACCGCCGCCCTTTGGGTTAACAGCGCGGATGACTGTCGGGCTGCAACCGATTTGATATGAAATTCTTTTGATTGTGCTACACAAACACATTTTCTTGCATTGCATTGTAACCTCATTTAGACTTTTCTGTACCATAATAATTGCCGAAAGTTTAAAGTTTGGTAAATCTGGGTGAAATTCTGTTTGAATTGTCACTCCCACATAACATGTATTGAGACCTGAAATATGGATATCCGGCGGACAGATGTCAGGAGAAGGCGAGGACACTGGGGCAGGCTCCTCTGCACAGACCTACAATGAACACACACACACAAATAGTGACACCACATTAAATAATGAAACTCAAAAGAAATAAATATTAACTAGTCTTGAGATTTTTATATTTTTATGGCACTGGAGACAAAAAGTAAACCCATTTTTCTTTTTTGTTGAGTGTATCATTTTTTTCTTTAAGTGAGGTTACAGTGTTAGTCTGCTCCCTGATATGAAAATCCTACTAAAGTTTTGAAGCGCTTCTGCGTCATCTGCAGCAATGAATGCAATGCTGTTAAGATGACAGATTCAATGGGGCTGAATTAAAAAAATAAAAAAAATAAAAAAAATCAGTCATCAAATACTAGATAATACTGAAAATTGGTGTGTTTTCACATGCAAAATAACTGAAATGTATTTCTTCTTAATATATTTTTAGAAAGCAAATGTCAAGAAATGAATTGGACGGGAGGTCCAGAACTGTGAGCTGACCTCGGGTGATCGGATGTGGACTTTTAAACGTCCAGAGTTGGCTGCCGCCCGCTGAACACCATTGTGAAGAGATGTGCTGCTTTGGAAAAGTCCTTTACCTGGGATGAAAGCAATCTCCACTGCACTTTCTTGACTGGGAATATAACAGATACATTGCTCATACATTACTATATGCACAATGAATTAGGTGGAGAGATGTCTGCACTCCACCCACCTGAATTTGGCTTTGTTGAGCATGCTTTTGGCCTCCTCGTGGGTAACACCTATCAAGGACTCCTTGTTAATGGCAATGAGCTGATCTCCGGGCCTGAGACGTCCATCCTGTGTAACCAAGACAAAAAGGCAATGCCTTCAATCTTGAGACAGGCCTCAATTTCCTTCAACATGATGGAATTTACTTAATTTTAAAGTCAGAATGTCGGAATCAGAATCTGATTTACAGTGATCCCTCACTTATCGCGACGAATGGGGACCGAGACCACTCGCGAAAGAGGAAAATCGGCGAAGTAGGTACCCCACCGTGCAGGTGTATCTACATGTGTATGAGTATATATAATATTTATAAGGCCAAATTTAATGGTATACATGCATTAGTAGAAGTAAATGTTTGAAGTAATGAACATTACTTAATGCTACATACTACACACGTGTATAAGATGTATAAGTTAGGTTAGGCTAGTGTATAAATAACAAAATACAGTAAAAATATACATGTCAAGTACAACTTTATTGTCAAATGTGCTGTACAGCACAGATGAAATTTCTTCCCTCTCATGACAACATGCAACAAGAGGAGCCGCTGCGGGTGCCCGCTGCGGGTGTCCCCATCAAAAGAAAAGTTAACATAACATGACAAAATAATACAAGAGAACACATAAGACATAGACAATTGTGCAATCTTAATCAGTTTCCTGCATACACTTTGTTGTTTGAAGCAGTTATAGATGAAAGAGGAGTGAATCAAAGTGTCCTTTTCACCAGTGGATCAAAGACGTCATGCTGAAATGTGCACACGTCTGCTACAAGCTAAGTTTGAAAGCAAAAAAGAAGCTGTAGCGTCCATTGACGAAAAAGAGATTGGCTCTCTTCTCCTGTCCCATGTAAATCCGCTTCAATTCCAAGCGGGCTCCTTTCTTCTCATCGTCAGCTCCTCAAGCCATGCATCCATCCAGCCGCAGACGTCCATCAGCACAGACCTTTCCACTGAACAAAGTGGGGCTGTGAAAATGCTGCCCATTACAGGCGCAAGACACAAGCGCCCCGGGGCTGTCCAGCAATGACAGACAAATGGCGCCAACATTCCTCCCAATCAAAATCAGTGCTGGTACACGGGTGCTGTCGAGAAGGCGCAACCACTAAGCACAGATTCTTCTTCTTTGACGAATGTCATGGCCAAAAATGCTAAAACGGTCCACATCAGGTCCACACGATGTAACAGCAACACCATGTGACAAAACAAAAGACAAAAACAACAAAAAACGCACAGCTCTTGAAGAGCACTTGCTGCCTACTAGGGCGCCATCTTGGAAAAAAAAAGTACTGTATATGTAGTACTGTATATGTGACTCGTTGTTGTTTTGCTGACTTTCGCTGCCCTTTGCAGACCTTTTGTGACATTTTTGCTTTTTTTTTTTTTTTTGGATGAATGCTTTTGAAAAATCCGCGATGCTCTGAAACTGCGAAAAGTGAACCGCGAAGTCGCGAGGGATCACTGTATTGGCAAAGTATGCATGGAACACACAAGGAATTTACTTCCCAGGTCACCTATTTAAAGAGTGACATGAAGGTTAAGAGTTTCACAAGAAGGTCACACACCCTTTACACAGTTTAAAAAATCTGCATCATCGACGGCAACCAAGCCTTGTCAACTTTGCACATCCCATCCCCCTGCGTTGAATTACATCCATCCCGTTTTATCCATGGTTGCTTGAAGGGAGATTGCTGTGGGTGTGCGGAACATAAGAGCTTGAATATTCTTCGTTTTGAGTTATTTAATGAATAAATTCAATTAATTAATTTAGAGAATCATCTACCTCAAAACCGAGTCAACCAGAGTGTTCCAACGTTTTGTTTTGTTTTGTTTTCAAGAAAAAGGCCTAATTTTAAACAGGACTGAATATCAAAATCAGTGCTGGTTGCCCCTGCACAGAGCCTGCACAGAGCCCAAGATTATACTGTATATGATGAAGTTGTCTGTGCAATTCGCCATCTGTTATTGGGATGTGGATATTGAAAGTTAGAGGATGAAAAATGACTAAAATAATTCGCTTCTGTTTCTGTGTGGAGAGAGGTTCGATGTATTGTATCTATTTGGCGGTAATAAAGCAATGTAAATGAGCAGAAACAATTGTAATTGATAAAAGTTAAGCATCCGTCTCGTGTCAAAGATGATAGACAATTCTGAAATAATATCACATACAATATTTTCATAGTCTCAAGGCACTGTGGGAATTGAATCCATAATTTGTTTATGTTGCAGGGCAACATAAACAAAAAGAGCAACACAGCGAACAGTTCCTTCAATACAGAATGCCTTAATTGACCAAAAACGTGACGATTCCCGAATTCTATCGACTCTGCGCTCCTTTATTTGCTTGTCATATTGCCCCGAGTTGTGAAATGAGTAGGCGATAGAGAGGCGTGGAGGATGGGATTTGAAAAGTGGAAGGAGCTGTCGCGAAGAAAGGCAGTGGTATGTGCAAATCATGCAAGAGTGAGTGGGTGGCCAATTGAAACGATGCCCCCCCCCCCACCCCAACATCATCATCATTTGAGTCTGCTGTACCTCTGATACCTCTGAGTAAGCCACTCCAAGGAGAGCTCTCTCATTTCACAACACGGAGCTTTGTAGCATGTCTTACTTTGTACAAAATAATGAGCTACCATAAAAATCTCCCCCACTCAAAATTCGGTTGTCATACTCCCTTTAAAATAGTCATGACTTTACAAACCAAATTTGTGGCCAAAGGTGAGGGTGGAAAGATAGATCGAGCATTTCGGCTCAGTTCACCACACCAGGTTTCATTCAGAATTTGCATCCCTGTGCCTTCTCTATTCTTCCCTCAATCATGAAATGGAACCCAAGATCCTTGAACTCATCCGCTTGGAGCAGGCCACCCTTGTCTGGATGAGAACCCTAAAATATATAGAGGTGATTGTATAAATCGATTCACATTCGGCTGCAAACCACTCCTGTTCGAGTTGAAGATCACAGGCTATTCAAACCAACCGAACCAGATCATTTTGAAAAAGCAGAGACGCAAAACTGAGACAACCAAAACAGACTACCTTAACTCTATGGCAACATCTAGAAATTCTGTCCAGAAATCTTATGAACAGAATCTGTCACGAATGTCAGCAGAATCCAACAACTTGCGAGAAATGAATCCAATTCACTGTTGGCACAGTAGATTTGCAGTTTTTAAAAACTGTGTACTGAAGCTCAAACTAGCACAAAGGCACTGTTGCCTGTCACAAGTGAGCGTACAAAATAAAGACAGCTCAGCAATATACTAATTCTGTAATAAAACCTAACACATTTCAGCTCATAATAATGGCACAGAAAGATATTTGCAGATTATTTACTGAAACACAGAAAAGTTGTGAGCTCAAATAGAACTATAGTACTGTATTGGAACATCAACAGCAGTGTACTCAATGTGCACCGTTGTTGCCACTAATCTGCAGTGATTATTATTGGGGCATTGTTATTGTCATTATTTTACACTCAAATAGGTCAAGTATTTTAAATATGTGGTGTCACCTTGGTTTTCTGGAGGCGATTAGCCCATGACAAGCATAATCCTGTTGAATATTTACAGTTCCATTCCATGGTGAATCTTATGTTAAATAGTGCTTGGATGTGTTTTGGCCTGCATGTTGTTTTGGTGTCAGGTTCAGTATATGAGCCCAGAGACCCAGAACAGACACAGCAAATCAAGTGTGAAGGTCAGCAGGAAAGGCCCGCTTTAAGAATCGCTCTGCTGCTGCTGCCCCTCCATCTTGCACCCACAGAATTTGACAACAATACACTACCAAACTGAGCTATCATATGTGTACACGAGAGGCACACCATTTGGTTTTATTGAGGAAGTGATAGTTGTTCAAACTAGAAAACAAACTGCTTTCCAATTTTGATTTATTATGAATCGTGGATGGAGCTGCCAGTCTTAGAAACAAGATCAGAAACATGCAACCTTAACATGACTCAGCTGTATTTAATGTTAATCCCTGGCCAAAGCTGGATAGATCTGCACATGCAGTATTTTATTCCCTTCTTCAGCTCTGCCTTATTCTGCGGAACTCATTATTTGACAAGCGTCCCACCTCTGCTGCACTGCATCCATCTATGGTTCTCTAGATGTCTTTACCCTTTTGAGTTTACAGTCAAAAAAGTCATTTCATGTTTTAATTCTCCAGTTTAAAAAAAAAAAAATCTGAAAATCTAAAAAATTTTTTAAAAAACCAAAACACATAAGTATTCACATCTTTTGCCACAGTCCTCAAAATTGAGCTCAGGTGCTTCCAGTTTCAACTCATCAACCTTGAGATGTTTCTGCAGCTTAATTGGAGTCAACTAGTGGTAAATTCAGTTGATTGAACGTGATATGGTATTGCACACACCTTTCGATATCAAGTTCCACAGAGCACAAACCAAGTATGAATTCAAATGAATTGTCTGCAGAACTTTGAGACAGCATTGTCTTCAGGCACGGATCTTGGGAATGGGAAACAGAAACATCTCAGCTGCTTTAAGGTCCCAATGAGCGTCCTCCAACAACTGGAAATGGAAGAAGTTCCACAATTCCGTCCTAGATGGCTCCACCTTTTCTCCATGGAAAGAGAAGAACCTTCTTGAAGGACAACCTTCTCTGCCCCACGCCACAATCAGGCTGAGATGAAAGAATGGCAAGATGGAAGCCGGCCCTTACTACAAGCTATATGATGGCAGAAGGCCTGCAATTGGCCCAAAGGCAACTGAAGAGCCGGCTCTCTGACCAGACGAGAGAATTTCTGGTCTGATGAATGAAAGATGAGAACCTTAGATATCATGTTTGGAGGAAGCGTGGCATTGCTCGTCGCGGGCACGGAGAGAACATGCAAACTCCACACTGGAAGGATGGAGCCTGGAATCGAACTCTGACCTCTGTACTGTGAGGTGGACGTGCTCACCAGTCAACCAACATGCCGCTGCTCCGACTATCAACCTTAGTTTATTAATCTGAGCTCTGTTCACCTTTCAATTGCACTGCACTTATTTTTCCCTTGTGTTCTGGCAGCACTTTTTGTGGTATCGTATTTTCCGCACTAAAAGGCGCATCTAAAAGCATTCCATTTTCTTAAAAGCTAACAGCGCGCCTTAAAATCCGATGTGCCTTGTGTATGGTCATTACGGTAATATTTTGACCCCAAAATGGCTCCTTGCTCGAGACATGCTGACAACGCAGAGTTCAAACTTAAGGCGATCAGTTACGCAGTTGAACACGGAAATAGAGCAGCGGCAAGAGAGTTCAACGTTAACAAGTCAATGTTATAATTTGCTGTTGGTTAAGTGAACTGTGTCGCTGCTTTATTAAATAAGTTTTACTGACATCTGATCGTTCTGTTGGTGTTTCCTTGAGCGTAGCTACATCTAGTGGATGCATTGTAGATTGCATCTCATAATGCGGTGCGCCCAATGTATGAAAAAATTACATAATAGGCCATTCATTGAAGGTGCGCCTCATAATCCAGTGTGTCTTTTAGTGTGGAAAATATGTTATAAATGTTCTACTGCGCATGCCCTTTTATTTTATCAATCTCATTATTCATACTTGAGTCTGTTTTTTGGGGCTCTTCAGTCACAACTTTAGCCACACCCAACAGATTAAGGTAAAGATCCATCCATCCATCCATTTTCCGATCCGCTTGATCCTCACAAGGGTCGCGAGGGGTGCTGGAGCCTATACCAGCTGTCTTCGAGCAGTAGGCCGAGGACAACAGAGATGAACAACCATCTACTCACACTCACACCTAGGGACAATTTAGAGTGTTCAATCACCCTGCCATGCATGTTTTTGGAATGTGGGAGGAAACCGGAGTACCTGGAGAAAACGCACGCCGGGATCGAACCCGTGACCTTTGCACTGTGAGGTCAACGCACTAACCACTCAACCACCGGGCAAGGTATAGATGAATGCAATAATGTGCAGAGGCACTTTGGATATTAGTTTTCTCGAGAGTCCTCTTGACTTCGGACTGTCCCAATGGTTCCTTTTTCAGCAAAACACAAACCCAGTCAAGACATGAAAGAAAGTGGTTTCAGAACAACTCCGTGAACGTCCTTGTGAGCCAGAGTCCAGAGTTGAATTCTCAGTGACAAAGTAATTCTTTCTCCGACTTTGCCAAGAGGAGCTTTGAGGACACAAAGCCAAGAAACTTTAGTCCTGAATCTCAAGACAATAACAAAGGTCGATGCTGTTTCCATTCACCCATTCTCTGAATTAGTATTTATGTGCATTACATTGTTCACGGCATGAAGATGTATGCTAGCTACAAAAAGAGTAAAGAGAGTTGAACTTTTGAATCTTTGATTCGCTCCACGATTCATTTAGAAGTGGTTCATAGTAAACGCTGTGCTCACAGACTTCAAAGCATTTCTTTTAATTTGAGAATGAGGTGTTCCTCAATTATCTGGATCAATCAAAAATACATACAGATTACCACAAAACTGTTTTCAAAATAAAATTGTAGACCCGTGCCTCTCATTTTAGTCAACTGAGTTTTGGTCAATGAGTGTATCAGGCCGCTGGCCCTCTCACTTACCCGGTGACAGTCTCCACCAGACAGCACCTCCTGAATGAAAACTGCTGGGCCATCAGGGCGGTTGGATCCACCTCCTAGGGTGATGCCCATACTGCTGGATCGGGTCACAGAAATGAGTTGAATCACTCCTTCACCTGGGTGACTGAGAACATGAATACATCATCATATCAAAGTTACAAAAGGAGCTATGTTTTTGTAAACGGAGGAGAGTGTCACATTTTGAACTCATCTGACCTGAGTGAGCGCAGTATCGGTCCGCTGTTGTTGTACATGTTCTGAGAGCCAGCTGGGCTTAACAACAAAGGACTCTGGGAGCGAGATGAGGAACCAGATGACGTACTTTCCAGGTAACGACCTCCTTGGGATATGGAATAAAGGACAAAGAATTTTAGAAAACCTTCGTAGTAGGTGCATTCAAAGGCTTCGATTTTATTTCGTATTGTAACAGAAATAACCTAACAACACAATGTCAGATTCCTGTGTCTCCCCCACCCCGCTACAGACCCAGGACTCAAAAAAGTCCAAAACCTTTATGACAGATGAGAAGCAACTGACCCAGCGTCACCCAATGCGGCAAGAAACACTCCACCCTTCTCCCTTTGTCTGAACAGAATAATAATAATAATAATAATAATAACAATAATAATAATAATAATAATACATTTTATTTGTGGGCGCCTTTCTAAGCACTCAACAAGCTTACAACAAGCAGTTAAAAACACAAATACAATGTTAAAAACAACATCAAATAAAATAAGATAAAATAAAACAAAATAGAGATAATGGATTTATGGTCAGAGTGAATAAGCTTGTCTAAACAGATGTGTTTTGAGGCTGGATTTGAAATGTGTTAATGAGTCTGTGTTACGAAGGTCAGCGGGCAGTGTGTTCCAGATCTAGGGAGCAGAGCGACTGAAGGCTCTGAAGGAACTGTTTACACTCACAATAAAAATGTGCTGGAAATGAGTGAACTTGTTTTCAGCAGTTGACGACATGTTATCGCATCACTGACCCTAGGCAATATGTGTTAACGTATAAAGCATAATATGAACAGCAAGTGTGGAAGTTACAAAGCCCTCTTTTCCTGCATTTCTTCTCCTGAACACTTGTTTCTTTCCGTTTGGTCTCTGCTCGGTGTGTTTTTCAAAGCTGCCGCCCAAACTTTGTTTTTTCCTCCTCCCACTGCATTCAACGTCGATCAAAATAATGTTGTCGTTGTCCATAATTTTATACTTCTACTCTTGCCTCAACCTTTCTCCAACCTGCTCCTCTTGTGCTTCAGAGACAAAGTGGCGTGAAATGAAGGAAACAAGACCGAACAAGCAACAACTGAAGGTAGCTATAGTGAAGGAATTTAACCACTCATTGACTTGCAGACAATTTTCATCCTAGTATTACAAAGTATTGTCCAAATATTTTTCTGAAAACGTATATGTCAATGGTTGGCGCAAATAAATAATTGAATGAGGAAAATTTGGGCATTAAAAAAAAAAAAAAAATTATAAAATCTTGGATCTATTGACCTGACCTTCAGCAGTCACATTATCCCTCTACAGGGAATTTAACACAGGCGTGCAGCTACAATATTTAACCCTTTCAGGGACAGTGGTTACTACAGTGGGCAGCTTATCATGTTATCAGGTTACAGGATGCATGAAAGGGTTAAATGTATTTTAACTAGAGCTGTCAGTTTAGCGTGTTGTTATCGGCATTAATTTAAATGAATTTGAACGTGATGAAATTTTTTTCTCGCGAGATTAATGCGGCAACACGTCACAGCAGATTTTACGTTGCTCTATAAATAAACCGGAAACAAAACAACAAGCGCGCTGCACAAGTCCACGCCCATGTCTGTTTTGCCAGCCATGGCAGCGCGAGACACCGAAAACGGATACTTAAAGAGTTTATGAATGGAAAGTTTACTTTTAAAAAGTTGCTAGATTGTTCCACTGACAAGACCAAAGTTACCTCTGTGTTTTGCAGTCGTAAACTGAGCTATCATCATAGCACGTCAAGTCTGAAATACCACTTAATGGCCAAGCACATAGCTGATGTGAGTACTCCGCCCCCTCGTCTAAGACAGACAGCTATGGATCATTTCAAAGCGAAGAAAATGGATCACACGACGAAGAACAAATTTGCTGAAGCCATAGCGAAATGTATGGCTACTGCGTGCAAGCCTGTCAACATTGTCCACAGCTCGACTCAAGCTGAAATCATTCGCATTGCATCTAACGACTCCACTACGGACTGCCAGCGAGAGCCTCCATTACAAGTTGTGTACAGAGATTGTACGTAGCGGAGAAGGCTAAGGTACACCAAGCGGGAGAAGACACTGTTTCGGGAGAAAAATAAGAGACTAGGATGATGAGCCTCTGGTGAATAAAGAGCAGGTAGCCTGTTGAGTACGATGTATGCCACTGACGCGATTGTTACTTGTTTGGAACTATTTTGTGTGGAAGGTTACCGTGTTCCATGTCCATTTCAATAAAAGGGGTGGAGCTTCTCTGTGTTCGTCTGACAGTGACGGTGCGCTGAGGCATGTCGAGAGTTCAGCGGTGCAGTCATAGCGACCACACTGAAAATAAAACGTCTCCAGTGTTGTGCCTCGAACCAAGTGTAGTCTTCCGAACAGGGGTGTAGTCCACCCACTTCTCCCGACGCCACATTCAATTTTTATTGTAATGTTTGTTGATCATTGTTCTAATGCGAGTTATGCTTAATAACGTTGGCCTGTGATTATTTTGGAGAAGTAAAACATTAAATTTAACGTTAGTTCAACTGGTGTTGCCTATGATTGATGTTCTGAATGTATATATAGAACATCCCAGAATCGCGTACACCCACTTAAAAAATCCCCACTACACCACTGCTTCCGAAATGATGTCGACACAAAACCATAAAGAGACTTCCGCCCAAGAAGGACCAACAGAATCAACATAGCCTGACTGCTGTGGTCAAAGCAAACTTGAGAAAAACGAAATATGCAACCATGGCTTAAATCCACTATAGGCTGAGTACTAGTTTACCTTAGATGTGCACTTTATAATTTTATATTGCTCTGTTTTGATTCCCTAAAAAGAGCTGTTAAAGGAGCTGTTGTGTGGCAAAATATTTTTTTTCACTGTTGTTGATAGACAGTAATATTGTGTGAGAGATTATGTGTGAATAACTGCTCCAAGTGAAAAATGTTCATGTAAAATTGAAAATCGAAATTGTTGTTTCAGTAAATATTTGCATTTTGCACATAGAAAACTGATCCATGATTCCATGTTGATGAAAGTATTAAAACAGGAAAAATAGGACAAAAAATATAAAAGGAAATTCAGAAACGATAAAAAATGTGAGTAATCACGATTAATTATGAGTTAATTTGAGTTAATTATGACAGTTGCATTTTTAATTCGATTAAATATTTTAATCGTTTGACAGCTCTAATTTTAACATTATGCTGCTTGTGTAAAACTCACTAAATGACCCAGAATACTTCACTGATAAGTGTTGTGACATTATGAACAAAGAATCGCTCTTCAATTTACTGACTCAGGTTGGCTAATCATTCCCAGTGTGCAAATATATGGGGAAGCAGCATTTTGATGTCATGATGTCAAAACCCAAACCTCAGATCTCCACCTGCTGCGCAGAAAACACAGTACTGTTCTTCAGCCTGTTTTAGCAAATCTGTACCAGCCAGCTGCCTCTTTTACCAAAGAAACAGATGTTGGCAATTGTGTAACGGACAACTGCACTTGTCCTAAACCATTCTTAAAGCTTGACTGAGTCCATTTAGCCTTTGGGCTCAGAACTTTGAACAAAACACAATTTTTTTTTTGCTGTATTATGGTCCGTCCAATGCTCACAGCAATTTTCTCTCACATGCAATGATTTCATAAGATCATTGATCAGTTGAGCACAAGCGACATTGTACAAACAGGACAGAGCAGAGCCTTTCTTACCTTGCTGTATTGGAGAGTTGCGTGTTGATCCTGTGCTACCGTTGGAGCCATATTTTTCCATTAGGTCAGCAAATTCTTTCCTTTCCAGGGGAACAAAGTGTGAAAGTTCACCGGGCATGGACATGAAAATCTACATTTCGAACCCTGTACCTCTGCACTGTGAGGCCGACACGCTAACCAGTCAACCGTCTTGAACAAAACCAGCATTAAAAAATGACTGATAACTGAGGAGACAAAGTGGCATATTTCATGCCTCACCACACAGGTGACTGGTGCCGGTGGGCTGCATGCATGACCCCTTAAAACATGATTACTGAAGACTAAGTCAATGGAAGCATGAAAATCCTGCAATTAGTTTAAAGCAGGGGTGCCCAGACTTTTTGGACCGAAGATCTACTTTTCGATCAACTAACCTCCTGGGATCTACACTTACCGGCGCGCGTGTGCGCACGCGCGCACACACACACGCGCGCGCACACACACACACACACACACCATGAAGAGAAACAGCCTGAAACTGAGGCATACGATGCACTTTTGCAGCCTGTTAACTATTGTAGCCCACACGTACCGTTTTAAAGTGCTTCCCTGGGCCCTCCTAGATTCCTATTCTTTGCCCGTGCCCTCGGTGAATTGTACACGAAGCAAACTCTGAATGAGAATAATTACAATAAAAGATAGAGCGCAACAGCTCTGATCACAAGCTGCAATTGCAGACTGCTGAGCGCTAACAACTTCCAGTGACGTAATCACGCACCACCGTAAATTCAAGATTTACCTGCTTAATTTTATTTTTTAAATATATATATATTTTTTTGTGAAAACGAGACTGATAGGATGATTAGTGTGCAGCGTACATTAACACAAAAAAATATATTACTAACATGTACAAAGACACACAAATGGTTGTTTGTTTTTTTCCCCCTCAACACTCCTCGGATCTACTTGGGACCTGTCTTAGAGCTACCGGTAGATCAGGATCGACATAATGGGCACCCCTGATTTAAAGGATCTTTTTTCATTATAACTTTGAGATGACCAGCACAATTAAGACCCTACTATGAAGACGCAATAAATACATGTAGAGTAGCTTATATAAAACTACATGGAGCTCTACTTACTTTGCTTCTTCGTCCCTGGCGATAAGAAGTCGCATGTGATTGGTTGCTGAGGCTGCTCTCAAGATGTCCACAGCTCTGATGAAAACAAGGCAATTGTCATGACTCTGTTCAGTTTGGTTTCTAATTCCAACTGGAGTGGTGGGCAGCGCCCTACAGCGGTGCACCTGTCACGCATCATAATCATCCATTTATAAAAGGACTGCCGAACCGCAACAGGATAATCTGACCATGGAATTTGTAGATTCAGATCAAGCAAGTTTTGGCAAGGACAATCGGTGGGACGGGCAGGAGTCTGCGCTCGCAGAGCTCCATGACGTGGCTCACTGGTTTGAGAAGTTGGGTACTCGCGTAGCGCAAGTAAGTCCTGAATCCCTGACCCTGCAGAGGAAAGTCCCAAACCATTCTCCAAGATCATTGCATCGTGGGGGCGTTGAGGTGGGAGAGAGAGCGGATGATCCAGGAGGTTCAAGATGGAACTCCTGCTGGATGCCCCACAGGAAAGGTATACGTGCCCCCACAACTGCAATTGGGTGTGTTGCAGTGGGCTCACATGTCCCAAGTGCCTTGCAATTCCGGTGTTAACTGCACTTTTCATCTAATCTCTCAACGATTTTGGTGGACAGAACTCAAGAAAGATATCCTGGACTTCATCAAAACATGCTCCGCCTGCTCCACCAACCACCTACTGCGTTGCTTCAAGCATTACCGGTTCCACCTCGACCTTGGTCCCACATCTTCGTGGATTTCATCATAAGATCTTCCTCCATTACGAGGCAAGTCTGCCATTCTCACCATTGTTGACCGGTTCTCAAAATCAGCTCACTTCATCGCTCTGTCCAAGCTACCATCCATCCGCTTTAGAGACCGCCAACCTTCTCCTCAATCACATCTTCTGTCTTCATGGGATCCGGTCCACAATTCATCTCCCAGGTTTGGAGATGTTTCTGCCTGGGAGCTACTGCGAGCCTGTCTTCAGTGTACCACCCTCAATAAAATGGACAAACAGAATGTGGTGTTGCGTATTTTTGTTTAAATAAACCATTTTTGTTCAATTCCATCTGAGTCCACATTTTGAGAGTCCAATTCTATCCTGAACCCTTCACAAAAATATAAAGTGTAAATAATAATGTGTGTGAAGGAGAGTAGTCAGATTTTACTGGTTTACCTGTCACTTGTGACACCTATTAAACTTTCTCCATTAACCTCCAAGATTTGGTCTCCTGGCAACAGGTTTCCTGTGGGAAGTAAAATACAGGTCATTTATTCATGTCCAACTGATGGAGCATCAGCAACAGGATTGTCTT